AGCAAGTCATATAGTTGGTATTAGGAATAGAGACAGGATAGACGAGGCGGTAATTGGAGCAAGTTGGCCGACAGTAGGTTTTACAAGAGACGTGGTCCATGTGGTAGGGGCATGACCATGAGACGTACTCTAAGGCTTTAACCTCTAATTAATCCCCCAGGTGCAAGGGATGAACGAATTACGCCTCGAATAGCACAGATGGGGGGTCAGGGGTCGAGTAAAACACATGTACCAGGGAGATAGCAGACGGATTAGACGGGGCAAGAGGGAGACTTTGATAGCACCCATGGAAGGACTACGTAACAATATGACAGACTGTGGTCAACATTCCCAGCACAAGGGTGAAGGGGGTGATAAGGACAGTTTCAAGTATGAAGGGTTTTCATGAATTCCGCTCAAAGGAGCACACCACACTAGATTAAAAATAAGCACGGTAAAAAAATTGTGACAGGGAAGGCATGATAGGAGGATATAGGAAATGTGAATAGGCCAGGGCAGAAGGGGAGGATACCCAATTGTTTTAGCACACTTTTGGTCAAAGGATTGGCTTCACTTGTCTCTTTTACGAGTTGTAGTATGGTGCTACAAATGGCGAGACTCACTGACGATGCCGGCGAAGCATCTAGGAATGTATCAAGTCCACGGTCCTACTCTGCAAATGATGATGCATACAAGGGATTCCGGACCAGGTGCGTTCCTCTAAGTCGTCCTACCAATATGACCAAGTTGCAAAACAAGCTCAAACAACTTCTATACAACGAAAGGAGACTGCGACCACACAAAATGCCACACCATCTTGGTCTTCATACCTTCGAAAGAATATGAGCTCTGCATAGACACATAAAGCGAAGAATGCAATCTAAATACGGTTCCAACTTTTTTAAATAAGCAATTCGTATATAGGTTGTTTGACCTTGTTTCCACAACATGGTCATATTGTTAGCAAGACTTAGTGGAACGAACCTAGTCTGGAGTCCATTGTCTGCATAATCATTTGCAAAGTTGAACCGTGGACGTGGTACATTTTCAAGCGTTTCGCCATCATCGTCAGTGAGTATCGCCATTCTCAGCACCATACAACTCGTCAAAGAGACAAGTGAAGCATATCCTTTGACCAAACGTGTGCTAAACAATTGTGGTATCTCCCCTTCTGCCTCGGGTTATTCGCGTTTCCAGTAGCATACTATCATGCCCTCACTATAACAATTTTTACCGTGTTTATTCAGATATAGTGTTGTGTGCTCCTTTGAGCTACATGAAACCTGACATAAAATTGTAATAGTGAATGCATGATAGGATCTACCGGAAACTCGAATACCCCAGGGCAGAAGGCGAGATACCTCAATTGCTTAGCACACGTTTGGTCAAACGATTGGCTTCACTTGTCTCTGACGAGTCGTTGTATGGTGCTAAGAATAGCGCTACTCACTGACGATGGCGGCGAAACG